ATCCCTTCGGTAACAACATTGTTTAACAGATATGAGTCGTGCAGCATAAATCTGATATGACGGTCAGTTGTGGGAATGTGACAGCCCGATTATTTGACGATCATTTCATAGACGTGTGGCGCTCCTTCCTGTTCATTCGAAAGAGACGTATAATTTGGATCCGGAACGGATGATTCTGTAAGGCAATAAAACGAAATTGACGAGAGTAGGATTTTTATATAGTTAAACAAATGACGTAGAAAATGTTATTAAAAAGATATTTTTGAAGGTGACAGCAAATAATAAATGCCTTATATTATAAATATGTCTGTCTATATATCGAAAAATCGAAATAGTACTTTTGTCTTTACTAATTACCTTTGTCGTTACCTGATGACTTTTTTCTATTTTGGATTATTCTGTAAAGATAGAAAGTTGATAACTGTCAATCAGAGGAAGCAACATCGGAGGTGAATCACGATATCGGGTTTTTCTCTATTTGTTATTGTTATGATATATTGCGTTTCAAGCTTTAAGAATGCAAAAGTATACACAAAACATGACAAAGACATATTTTCTTATTAAACAAAATGACTTTCCCTGCCCGGAAATGTTGCAATGACATTTCAAAAAGCTTAATCCTACCATGTCTCTTTCTTTGCCGTATTCCTAAATATCCTCTATAAATTATAACCGTTTTTTTCTGTCTTGAAGGCAAATTCGTATCGAATTTTAATTTCCGTAACGTTAAATATCTATTAATGATGGACACTTTAGCTAGTGTACGGAATAGTTTTAAATCAATTTACATTCACATGGTGTTTTATAAAGAGTTATTCCACCTGCTATATGCAAATGTGACTTTTGCTCAGAATAACAACATGTTTGTTTTTAAACATTTAAGCATTAAATAAAAGTAGCGCATTACCCGAAACTGACATTACTTAACGGAACGTTCTCAGAACAAATCTATGATGGTCAATGTGATTATATACACCGAAAAACAATAATTTGACAAATCAACAGTACTGTTCTTCTGTCGTTTGTTAACAATTTTTAGCAAGAATTGTATAACTTTGATAAACGACTGTAATTTTCATGTTGGAAGTTTTGTGGATGACAGCACACTTTACTAATGTTACTTACCGAAGTAGACATATTACCGTTGTGATGAACGCAGCAATCAGTAAACCAATAATGACGGCTTGAACAGCTATTATGATTAGCTTATGATCGGCTGAAATATAACAAAAGAGTCTGTTTGCTATTAAATCAGTACTGATCTTCCCCTCTCTGTTCAGGAAGTAGACATTTATTTCCTATAACATGCTTCAATTAGTCTTGCTCTCTTACAATTCATGCTTGAAAATGAAATGCTGATGTTAAGGAAATTATCTCAAATATTTCGAAAAGTATATACTTACCAGTGCTGATACAATGACCGTCGTCTTTGTTACACGTACTGTCAGTGCAAGTGTCCAGACAATCTGCACCACACACAAATCCATACTTTCCCGCATAACATTCTGCACAAAAAATACCATGACTTAATCACTTCATAATCTTATCCTTGCAGAATGTCACACTGATAGATATAACATAGATAGTTATGCTGAGTATTGTTTATTTTATTATGCAGTTCTGTTCTAATTTGTTGTGTAAAATTTGCAATGGACTCTCGCCGTGAAAGATATTGTATTAACGTCAAACAGTAGAATTTGCCATCAATTTCTTCTTTTTGTTTATCTTCTAAGACTTACAAATATGTGCATAAAACACGTCTCGCTACTTTACCTAAACATTGTCCAGTTTGTTGATCACAAACGAAATTTTTACAAGTCACGGGGCACGTTAAGGCACATGTCGCATCATACTTTCCGATAATGCAATCTACAAGTGAAAAGGAATTCTAATTTTAGAACAAATGTATCAACAGTTTTATTTTTTATCAGCCGTCGCTAGTGTCATTATTTATGTTTATGTGTAATATTGTGAATTGCCAGACTTTAAAAAAAATCTTCGAATTTTGAAAATCATAGCATCATCTCGAAGGATTTTTTTTTAAATTCACTTTTGAAATTTTAAAAAGAGGTGATAAGAAACAGGGAAGACACAGGAGTACCAAAGATACCATAATGATCCATAGAAACCTTGTCTCTCGTTGAAGATTGTTAATATTCACTCATATTGCAAAATCGAATTCCTGAGTCAAATATTTAAGAAGTATTCCATTTTTTGTAGCGTAGCATTTTGATGTCGTCAAGTTAATATGTGTCTAATTTCTTATTCAAACAAAAAGTGGGTCTTTTGTATATTTAAAATTTGCTGATCTTTTGTAAACTCTTTTGAAGAACAGAATTAAGTTTCTGTTACATGCTTTGATAAGATCAATCTTGTTTTATCAAAGCAGGCCAGCAATTCGAAAGAGAATGACATGACATCATCTAGAAACACTTTAACATAATCTAAATTCAAATATATTTTTAAGGCAAAATAGGTATGGCCGTTTATTTCTAACATGGTTCGTGGTCGCGAACATTGTCTTTAATGTATTCTTTTTTGGTGCTTGATGTTTCCTCACTTCTTGCCTTTGAGCTTAATGTTCATTCAAGTGGAAAAAAAGTAAGTCGCTTCTTTTCCAAAGACATACCAAAGAAACTAAATGATATTTTCTGTTATCCGATTGTCGCTGATGGGATGTAAAAAGATTTGTTAATCAGTATAATATGAACGAGAAAGTGTTATGCCACCGCGCCCAAGCTATGATGTTACAGTGTGATGGCACTAAAAAGTGCCCATCAGTGACCACATCATCAATGGAAGCCGTCCCTTTTTGACTGTAGCTATGGCAGAGAATTACAAACAAAATAGCAAACGTTTTCCATCCCCTATCAAAGAATCAAATTCCAGCCGTTTTAAGTTAAAAGATAGCACGTTATCCAGTGTGATACAGATCCCTAGGTAATATTGATATTGGATTCAATAAAGATAGTATCCACCAACACCTCAGACACTTCATAAACCTGTCCTTGTCTTCGACAATATAGTATGCAGACGTATGTTAGCAACCTATTCGTGGTGTAAATATAAGCAAACAATTTATACGTATTCAAGTGAATTGTATGACATTTGAAAAGAATATCATGAATATACGTTTGTCGTTCTCAATTGGTAACCCTGTGTCGTAAGGTCAAGTACAAAACAAAGAAGCAATATCAACTTGCCATAACAATGTCCCGTCTTGCGGATACAAACATTGTCTTTACAATTCTTCGGGCAGTCAATGTCACACGCATCCCCGTGTTTTCCATTGGTACATTCTGTAAAACAAGCCATTCCTTAGATAATCAAGGTCATAATCGTGTCATAATTGGCAATGTGACAGTCAAATGGTCAAGATTCAGTTCAAAAGTAAACTTTGAAATAAGCATATCTCCATTCCAACAATGTACAAGGAATCTTTCAATCTTTCAAGAAGTGAACTTGCCTATCATTCTTAAAAACAACTCTCATCTGATAATTGGTGTAATGTATGCCTTTGGATAGAATTCGTATTAAAAGTATCTCGTACAATACATTTTACTGATCACATATGCAATGCATTGTATATACGCATATAATACTAATTTCACTTGTAAAATCTTGTAATATGATATATCATTATATCATATAATGACAATGAAATGACGTCACTAACCCGTCGGAGCATTATGACGTCACAAAAGAATTAATAAAAATAACGTTTACTGCACTATTCAAACGTAATTTTCATGTCATAAACATACAGGTTCGAATTTGCTTCCCTCCCATTCAAATAAAAATGTCAAATTCTAGATATATCATATTGTTTTTCACGATTTTAGACATTTAAGTGCTATTTTCACTTCTCTAAAGATACTGAAAGTTTATAGAATATGAAAATAGAACACATTGAATATAAAGCATTTTCATATAACGATGGTTTGGAATTAAATCCCTGTGTTGTGAGTGAACACAAAGAACATTTTGAAGGATCCCATTGTGTATGAATTTGCATTTTAATTTCCAGTTGCCATTGAAGTTACAATTGTAGTCTTTCGTAGCAAACTTGTAGTTGTTTTACAGAGAAACAGGCATTAGTTGTGTTGCTCTGATAAATATTTGCGTTTTTGTTTAGGTGATGCGCCGATTGAAATAAAGCGTGACAATTCAATTATATTATCACTTACCTGTACAATTTCCAGTGACCTTGTCACAGAACCTATCTTTACAGTTGTCAGAACATTTCTGATTACATATACTGCCATACCGTCCAGGAACACAATCTGCGAGTATAGAACAGGACCGAAATGACAAAACACTTATCTACTCTATCTGTTATTAACAAAAGATTTTCGGTAAGTTTACATGATTATCTCAATTAGGACTGAAATATTGCAAAAATACATTTCAGAATCAAATTTAAAAAAAGAAGAAAAAAAAATGGAATCACTTACCAATGCAGTATGCGGTTTCTTTTTCGCACAATATATCGTTACAGTTTACGGAGCAGTTGTGTTCACATCCATTGCCGTATTTTCCAGGAACGCATTCTAAGAATATAGAATGAGTCCACAATTATATAAGATAAATCTACTGCATCTCACATTGCCAATATCATTGCTTTCCTTAATGTTACATATAGTAAAGAAAACCATGTAAGATAGAAATCGATTATACGGCGATTGTTAATGCAGAATTCGTCAAAATCATGTGTATCCATCTCACAGTCACTCCTAATTTTACTAAACGGTTGCATGCACAAGTTTGGACATGAATAGGAGAATAGTGTTAACAGTGGAGGGGGTTGGAGGGACCCTAGATTGTGAGGAAGTCATTTTTGTTTCATTCAGGTCAAATTAATTGTGATTTGTTGCTGTCCTTACAATTAACGGATTAATGTATTACCATACGAATCAGGGACACATTCTAAGGAAATGAATGGAGAATAAATTTCATTTCATTTTATTGACTTGATATAACCGTGAGTAAGTCTCAGTGACAAATGTGTACTTATCATTGTTTTTCGCGAGATGGGTTTTTAAGAAGTGAACGCAGGGGACAAATGTAAAATTCACCAGCAGAAAGAATATGTTGTAATCTGTGTAACCTTAAATATCCTACACCAAGTGTAACTACATGTTTCTAAACCAGAGCCAAATTATTAACGAAAAGCTGACAAATTAATCGCTTGTATCGGCATACTTTTTAGGGACACATTCTAAGGATATAAAACGTGCTATTCATTATCATTTGTGTTCGCTTGTTGTGTTTCTTTATACATTGTTGTCCACGTTAAGTAACTTCTATTAAAACTTTGGAAACATTACACAGGTCTTAATCTAAACGCAAAATCGATGTAACTATTACAAAATATAGAGTGTTTAATATGAAGCAATTCCGTTAGGATGACTTCCTTACATTGTGGAGAATAAGTGATTAAGCAAATGCTAGATAAGAACCTGTCAATTGTGAATAGTAACGACCTGAAGATATAAATATTTACAGGTTCATTATTTTCTTAAGTTGAAAATGTTGTAGCAATATATTATACGGTAAAAATGAACGAGGCTGTACTAAACGTAAATAAACCTGTACAGAACCCAGTGTCCTTGGCACACAACCTGTCCTTACAGTTTACAGAACAGTCCTCAGGACATGTATCGCCGTACTTCCCGTTAATGCAATCTGTAAACAACAGTACGTAGCAAACAACAGAAGAGAAACCAATTTGAAAATCTTGCGATATCAAAGTGACGGACAGGGGACAGAGGAAACACGTAAATTTTGCAATATCCCGGTACAACTTCACAATAAGGTATGAAAAAGACACTCACCTGTACAGTACCCGGTGTCCTTAGCACACAACCTGTCCTTACAGTTTACAGAACAGTCTTGGCCACATGTATCACCGTACTTTCCGTTAATGCAATCTGTAAACATCAATACGTAGCAAACAACAGAAGAGAAACCAATTTGAAAATCTTGCGATATCAAAGTGACGGACAGGGGACAGAGGAAACACGTAAATTTTGCAATATCCCGGTACAACTTCACAATAAGGTATGAAAAAGACACTCACCTGTACAGTACCCGGTGTCCTTAGCACACAACCTGTCCTTACAGTTTACAGAACAGTCTTGGCCACATGTATCACCGTACTTTCCGTTAATGCAATCTGTAAACATCAATACGTAGCAAACAACAGAAGAGAAACCAATTTGAAAATCTTGCGATATCAAAGTGACGGACAGGGGACAGAGGAAACACGTAAATTTTGCAATATCCCGGTACAACTTCACAATAAGGTATGAAAAAGACACTCACCTGTACAGTACCCGGTGTCCTTAGCACACAACCTGTCCTTACAGTTTACAGAACAGTCTTGGCCACATGTATCACCGTACTTTCCGTTAATGCAATCTGTAAACATCAATACGTAGCAAACAACAGAAGAGAAACCAATTTGAAAATCTTGCGATATCAAAGTGACGGATTTGGGACAGAAGAAACATGTAATTTTGTAATATACCGGTACAACTTTACAACATGATATGGAAAAGACACTCACCTGTACAGTACCCGGTGTCCTTAGCACACAACCTGTCCTTACAGTTTACAGAACAGTCTTGACCACATGTATCGCCATACTTCCCAAGAATACACTCTAGACATATCAGGAATTTAAGCCATTAATAGATTAATTATGTTCCAATACATATTTTTATCCATCCCTGAAACCTTTTATTATATCTATATTAGACAATATTATTGAAGTTTTGTATTAAATCTTTGCAGTCATTTCCAAATATCAAAGTTATACTGAAATTGACACGTGTTTTGTATTAGAAAAGGCGAGTTACAATGGACAGTGTTGTGCCATACAAATGACTGGTTACTGCAAAAGCTGACGCAAAAAAGTAAGGAATCATTTACTTCCTGTATCCATATCTAACATAATATGACCAGTCAATGGTGCTGCACAAATACACTATTTTCTGTTAAATTCAGTCTTTGTCAAATTTTGGAAATTGTTGGCTCTTAGTTTTAGTGACTTACGGAAGCAAAAGCCCGTGTTTGAGTGACAGTTCCCCCCGTAACAGCTATCTGGGCACGCTTGACTACAGTCACCGTCACCGTGAAAGCCAACTGGACATCCTGGACACAGATATGCGCGTTATGGAAATATAATTTTGTTGTATACATTGTATTTTGTCAAATATATTGCTGTTCAGAATGAAATAATAATATCCATGCCAACGCAGTTTCTAATAAGCATTTGATAAATTGGTATTATAATGGAACTGAATTATCTGAAAGGTCATGTTTACAAATCGAATAAACATAAGACGTTTCCATTTCCCTACATTTACATAAAAAGCAGGCTGTTTAAAACAATGATATAAAATAGTTTGATAGTAAACTCACCAGACGCTTTTACCTCACACAATGATAGTATTGCGTCATCAGCATACCATTCGTACCGTTTCGGATTGTTTCTGTAGTTGTAAACAGTAATATACCGACCTACATACGGGCACCGGTGTGTTATTTTCAGTTGCACGGTGTCTTTAGTAATACTCCTCTCCTCGTAACAGAGGACACCGTGTGTAGGGGAATCCGTAAAATTGGATATATATAACTGGTAACCTGCTGTTCTCTCCTTATCCTTTGTAATCTCATCTAAATACAATTTAAAAAAAGGAAATAACATGATTTACTCGTAAGTGCTTTAAGAATATTAGGCTCGCATCCTGTTATTTTGAATGTAGCATTTTACATTATGCTTAATATTTAGTTTACATTCGTTGTTATTGGCATATACTTATGTACGGCTAGCAATCGAATGATTATAATTGTTTGAATATTGTATATTATTATCATTGAATATTGTCTCCTTAACTATATCGCAAAACAATTGTTCCTAATCTAAATGATAAAACCAACAGCTCCGAAAGATTCCATTGTAAACACGGAAAATTCCGTACAAATATTGGGCATACATCGTTCGGTCACACGCACTATGCAGTATCTTGTGCAAGAATGTGCGAATGGAAGACATGTGTTGTGCGGTTCGGTAAAAATGTTTGACTAACATCACAATTTAAAAAATAAAACAGAAAACTCGTTAGTTATGACACTTTAGCGATCATAGCAGTATAAAGATATTGATAGGTCAATACAAAGTCCATTTTTAATTCGACAGTTTTCGAAATAGCAAATGACCCCGCGTTTCAAGCGCATAATTTCACATCTCAGAGAGTGGCGAATTATGTGCCTCGAGTACCAAAAATACTTATTAAAGGGTATGCACGTGACAGGTTAGGATCTGTATCGGCTAGGTCTCATGTGTAACGAAATTCACCCATGCCGATATATCTAATTGAAAAAATTATAGAAAATTGAGTAATACAAAAGTAATGAAAATACAATTTCCTTTCTGACGGTCTGAGAATTTAGAATCATTGCTTAGACAAAAGCAGACGTGCCTTCTTTTGTATATAATGTATGTATTAGTGATTGCATGCAAAGACAATGATTCATCTATATTCGTTAAGTTTAATGCAATAAGGATATAACAGGTTGGTTTTTCTTTTTTTATCTTTGCTTACTTTATGAGTTTGCAGAAATCGTTGAAAAATGACACGTCATACCATACACAAGAATCAATACCGCAGTAGTTATTAACTTTATTTAACATTAAGCATGATTAATTGATTGGTATATGGTAATATATTGCCTTATGAAATGAACGAATGATTCTGTGGCAAGGACTATAGAAATAAGACAACGTCGCTAAAAATGAAAGCAGCATATTCCGGACACATCAATTTCATATGTTTTAAATGACAAAATGTATTTCTATTTGGCATATACGTACTTCTATAGATTATTTGTATAGTATTGATGCTGCTCATTTGTCCAAGATCGACACGCCACCAAGCAGTCTTAGGACTTCCATCTGTCATCGTGTGTGTACAACAATTAGACTCTATATTTGTAGTTTCACATCCGTCCACAGCTGCTCCTGCCAGCCATTTATAGTCAAAATAGTCACTACTTTGCTCAGCAGTCTTCAAAGCAGCGATATTGCCTTTAACAAAAGATGGAGAAGATTTCTTATAAATAGATGATAAATAACTTCCTGTCATCATCGCATAATTTGTGTGAGTATGTAATATTTAACCCTTTTTTTTAAATCACCGGCTAATTTGAAATAATTTGGAGCATTATCAATGAACTTCCATGAAAATTAATCTAGAGTTTTTTTTCGAAACCAATTATAGATGTCATTCCTGATTATGCAAGACCTCTTATGCATACTCGTACTTGGTAATTGGAGTGATGAATCTGTTATAAATGAGACATTCTTACATAAACATACAAAATCAATCAAGAAATGATACAGTGGCAAGTACCTTGTAGCTGTATTTGCACTCAACACCCATAGCCTATAATGTATTTGCAACACGACTGTTAACTCATGTTCAATGATTATCAAATCATAGAAAGGGCAATTGATGTGTCAGTAAGATTACTAGTTGTAAAATTTAATATTACAATTTCCTCCCCGATAACGATAACATGGTATGAAAAAGAAAACAAAATGCAGGAACTTGCGATATATGTATACTGGACATTTTGTACACGATAACTCTAATCACAAAATGTAAATTTGGACATATAACATGTGTAGGTCATGACTATAAAATTTCAGAGAGAAGAAAAGAAAATAACTAACATGACTTAGGTCAATTGATAATTTTCATCATTTTACAAATAGACGTAAATGTCTATAGCTTAAGAATATTTTTATATAAGACGGACATGCTTATTTCATTATGACCAAACAACCCTTCCAAAAACGTTGTTGGAGAGTTACCGGAACAAATTTAAGCAACCTATTTTTCTGACAGCAGACATCATAATTTGGGAAGGTCAGTTAGAAAACCTTATATATTTATCTATTTCATATAGTTTTTACAAAGGTTATCGAGATTAGTATTTGAATTTCTCTGACATAGAACGGTAACAATACACTTTCCATGATAAAAGGCAAAACTGGCAAAATGCATGTTTTCGTCATTTTATGCCTGAAAACATTGGAATGGATGTAAACTGAACCGTGTTTTGATATATTCAAAAATGAGAATTATCATCCTATTTTGTTTAGATTCCTCCGATAAAGAATAAAAAGTCAACCCATATTTTATCATTGTACATGGATTAAAGATTCGACCTGTTCCAACTCAGCGTATTGATGCCTGGAATCTAATTTGGATTATAAAAAAGTTACACATGTTTGTTCCAGTGATCATAATCGCAAGCAAGTCCTTTTCTGTCACTCTCTACCGAAAGTGGTTAATGTGAATATTTGTCTACTTAAGAGGACAGTCAGGAAGTTTCCCATCCAAGAAATTATTAGTTAGCTTCACCAAATCACTAGTCCCATGACCAGGAATAGAATATATTGTAGTGTTTTGCATATATTTAGCGACTGTCTCAGTACGACGGGGTTATATCTTTTGTATTTACTCAGCGTCTGTCCATGCACAAATTGAAAGAATTACCTCAATGAGACAAAAAACACACAGGTCAACATCACTTCTCATTACAAATTTAGAATTTTATACAGCAATACTAAATGATAGATTAACCAACATCCTACAACTGTTGACTCGCCAGTGATGCCAAGGGCTTAAATACAGCTGAGGCAAATCCTGATTGATTATGATGAATATTTGTAGAAATGGACAGGTTTGATATGCCTTCTTTTGAAAGGTTTTCTATTACCACACTTCTGTCCCTAATATCTCACGGTGTATTGACGAGATTTACTTTTTTCTCCGACGCACGTAACTTTATAAAGGAATTACTCATGCACACTCACTATACCTCCTACAAGATATAGCGCCAGGTGTCAGAATTGACACAATACAAACCATGTTCGCTTCCGTGCGTTTGTTTTCAATAGGTTATGCTAGCTTGTGTGTTTAAGTGGAAACGCAAAATAAGATGGGGAGGTGCACTAACCCTATAATTTAATTTTGTAATTTTCCATATATCTGATAATTTCAGAAGAAAGTCACAACATGTATTTATTCTGAATTTTGAAACATCATCTTCATAAATGGAATTCCTACATGTAAAATAATTCAGGCCCAGTCTGTGTAAGCGGTATATGGATGACACATTAGAAATAGTTTTTAAAAAGTCACAAAAAGATTTGACGTCTCATATCAATACAGTAAATACCACCAACAGCATGAACTTCACATGTGAGAAAGAAATCAATGGCGCTATGCCATCCCTTGATACCCTCCTAGTAAAGAAAGCTGACGGTATTATCTAAGTATTGGTCTATAAGGACAAGACCCACACAGACTAATACCTCAACTTCCGTTCTCACCAACATTACACCAGAAATTAGGCGTTTTACGAACCATGCTCAACAGTTGTGAAACGATTGTCACAGAAGAACAAGACAAAACCACATCCATAGCACCATCAACATGTGGATACCCTGATTAGGCAATCCAGAAAGTAAACGATGAATCTGATGTAAGCGAAAAAGATATAAGAGATGAAACACCAAGAAAAAGAACAAAACGAAAGAACAAGTTGTCATCTCTGTTATCAAAAGCCTCTCAGAGACCATTCAGATAATTTACTATGGTCATGGCTTCGCAGAGGCCTTGAAACCTCACAAAACGCTCCGAAATTTCCAAGTCCACCCTAATTATAAAACACCCAAAGAAAACGCCGCAGAATGCGTATACAAAATCAGATGCAAGAACTGTGTAGCATCATATATCGGAGAAATAGGCAAGAGATTCGGGGTCCGACTAAATGAACATTTGAAAGACGCAGAATTCCAAGAAGGCAAAAATTACTACAACAGACCGAAACATTCCCTGATCAATAAATCTGCACTTACATGTCTTTCCACACAGTAAAATATTATCATTGACCGGGAAAATTCCTGAACAGTCGACAGGAAAAACCACCTTTTTTGATGGTTGATTAGGGAAGCCATCAGGTTACGCCGCAGCGGGCCAGTGCTTGAGGTGACCACACACTCTCGCACATCTATTCCCTAGTGTTAAATAAAGCGTAGTCGGATTGACTACAGTACATTGTTACCATCTGGTGTAATGTCTGGTTTATAATATGTTTATCACGAGAATACTAGTACGCTCCACACTGGTCATATTTCTGATGAAGGTGACCGTGTAGTCATCAAAACGTCACTCTTAAACCTTTTACTGGTTGTGTTATAATATCTTCTATTCTTCTGTTATACTAATACTGACATTCTATATAACGAACTTGTGTCCTATTACCTAAGAAAGCTGTATGATTGATTAAAGTTCGAACTCTCAAATCTTATCAGATTTCGTCCATTTATTACTCACCATCAGCACTGGTCCTGGTGAAAATGCCAAACAGGAGAACGAACACATTTTTGCTAAACAGCACTCGTTTGAACGCCATTACATATCAGAAACAAGGAAGTACAAGGCATGTTCTGACTGTGTCTTTTTGTGTTATTTATAGAACGTGCAGATCATAGTTTGATATCTAGCGAGGACAACCACTGAATAAGGTATAAACATTTTGTAAACATTCCAAGTGGCCGAGACGCTTGAAACGCCATCCAAAAATAGCTCAAAACTGCACTTAAAATTTCTACGATGTAAGGGGAATAATTCTTATTATTGTCATGTTTACTGGTGCGTAAATTATTACTGTGAAATGTGAAGTGCTGGTTTACTGAGTTACGTTTGTACGAAAAAATTGGAAACAACATGTAGATATGAATCGATTTATATGAGAAAGTTATATGATAGTCATCATTTTTCTTTTTTGTTTATGTTTAAGTATTTTTTGCTTTTGTTTTCTATTGAACTTATTTAAGTTTAGTAGTTATTCAATAGTATGGCATAATACAAGAAATAACATGTAATCTGATATACATTTTCTATCACAGTTACATTATGGACGATCTCTCCCTTTCTGTCTATCGTTATGTCACCAATGGTTTTTCTCTCACCTTCCGCTGGAAGCCAAGTCTATATTAAGGAAAATAATTTTTTTTGTGACAATATCATCATGGACAGATATTTGTTTTCAACAAATATAACGTTTTTATTCTTTGTGAGGGTTTTTGAAGTGTTGTTTGGAGTTGTATTTTCAAAGTATTTCAATAATATCCCATAAAATAACTATGAAATTGTCATTCCTGAATTTGTTATTGAATTTTGTTAAATTGATTTTAAAGTTTCAGTTCTTCGATCAACGTTAGTTTCATTATCTGGTGCGTATGTGCATGTAGGTGCTTGCACAAACAAAGACTTCAGTATCAATGATGATAATTGCCGTACATTTTCGATTGAAAGTTTTGTGTAAGTCAGTGCCATTGTCATTATCCACCACGGAGTATATCTATAACAGATTCACCCAGATTATGTTTCCAAACTAACCACTTTTAAATGATACATATAACACGTCTAAATATAATTGATTGATTTCATTCTTAAACATTAAACGTACTTACAAGCACCACTACAGTACTGATGTAGCAAGTCATGCCATTTGCATCTGATAATAGATGATCCAGTTCTGAGCCTTTCATCTCAAGAACAAGCAATTAATTTATCACCATATTTCTTGAAGTAAGTAACAGCGAAATACTGATAGTGATTTCATATCCTAATATTACAACGAGGAACATTTTTTTAAGGGATTTATTTATAGAAACAAAGCATGCAGGAATATTCGTGAAAAGATGCCTAATAACATAAGTTTAGAACTGATGAATGTGCTGTATTATTCGTCAGAATATGGTAAGTACCATACTTTCAAGGCATACATGTGTAATAGCGTTATGCAGGTGGATGTGTTTGGTGTTCGTGATAACAATATACTCGAGTGAATACAAAACATTATTTAATTGGATTTAACAACATTGACATGGTAATTGTCGTCGATAAAACTCGATTATCCTTCCAGAACATCTTTGTTCATATGGTGACATTGTTTCTACGAACTTGAGGTTTGAAATCAGATTCTCATGTCTATCGGGATTTTTTTCTTTTTAATGTACCGAAAATTGCAATGTCTCACAAGAAGAAAAATTGCATTTCATAATAAGTACACGCGTATTTCTGTCTCAATATATGAGTGGTTTTATTGTTTGTTGTTTTTGATATTGTTTATAAACATATATATAAACGATTATGAGACTGAGGAAACCAGCAATATTGAACTTGTTTGGCATCATAAGCTGATCATAAGATGAATTACGACACAAAAGAAATATATTTACGTATATGGACTTAACGTGAAGCTAGAAAATTTAACCATAACCAATATAAAGTAGCATAACTCTTTGAAAAAAAATCACTTGTTTTATATAAAGAAGATATGGTTTGCTTTCATCGCATCATCTTGATAATTATTGAACAGCATGATTAATACATCATTTGATTTTTATAATCAATAGGACTTCGCGTAAAAAACGTAGTTCATTTTATTGAGTGTACATGTTTTATTAGCTTCCATTTACGTTTTTATGCTATCTCGCTATTCATAGTCGGTTTCTCATCTCATGTTTGACCACTAAATCTGTTCGGGAAACCCCTCTCAAATTTAAGGCTGATAATATCAAATTTGAAAATGAGGTAATTTATCTGAAAAATATAGTGCCACTGTACGTAAACACTTGGATTTTTTTCGGCAATCAATTTTTTATGGACAAGAAGACGTTGTTTCATAGCTCAAGTTTAATTCAGAATTAAGGAACAAGTGACATTAATAGCCATCGTTTCTGAAAATGTCCGGTCACACACGTATTTTACACAGCATGCAAAGCTTTAACCTAATTCCACTTGATCAGACCGTCAGTCAATGCAGCAGAATACACGCATTTGGCCATACCTCTTCAACCGAATCATCTTGGAAGGCATTCCAGTTCACTGATGTGGTGTTGTGTGTATGCGTTTTCATATTTGATCAACGGAGAGAGATTCTTCTTATATAACTATGACTTAAATTCTTTATGTTTCAATGGAAACGATCTCAACACTGTCACTAACAATAATAATTAAACAGCCAACATGTTCTACCGGGATGTCACTTTATGGAATTTTCTGTTTTATATCTTGCTCTGAGAGGTAAAAACGCACGATTTAATCTTATCATTTATAAAAGATTGTGTGACAAAATGTTCACAAAACGAATTTACTAGGTCGTAGCTTTAATATAAGGAATAAATAAATTTAGATAATAATCCAAACTCAAATTCAAAAATAAAAATTAACAAAATTTTAATAAAATCAAAAACTTCAAATGGTAAATAAGCAAGTACATTGATAATAAAAATAAAATATTCGGGAAGAGTAAGCGTCTACCACTTCTCCTATGACATCCACCATGCAAATATTGGTGAAAATAAGTAAGAAGTAAATAAGGAATTCAAATGTCTTAAGAAATAATTAATAAAGGCAAAAACCAAATGTTATTTTGTTCTTTATTTCCAGTCTTCTTGTACACAGATCAAATTATTTCACAGATCTGGCGAATACATCCTCTTTCATTCTTCCTTGTTGATACTTTACAAAAACATGATCACATCGAAACTTCGAACATTGTTTCTTATATTTAGTTACATTCTCCTTCAACAATAACATATAAGTTATGAGTAAACATGGTAATAAGAAGTTAGGAACTATTTCGTAGTAGTAATTGATTATAGTATTAACTTATTAATACATGAAAGAAATGTTAGGGTTAAAAAAATCTTTCAATCACATGAGCTGTTACCAAATTAGGAGTAATACAAAGGTATTTACATCTGATTGGTGCAAATTATCTTATTGATCTTATAAAACATACATGTATGTATACATATAGTGGAACAAACAACTCAAAATATCAATTGAAATAAATTCTCAAGGAGTCAAACAATATCGCAAATACATATCGGATGCTAACATACAACGTTTGTTAATATCTTGTATAAAATATGGACTAGCAATAATGTTGAGTGATTATACAGATAACAAAGATTGAAAAGCGCGTATAGTCATTACTGAAACTACATAATCCAATGTATCTAATAAACCATAATAACTCACAAGAGATCACAGAGGGATTTCCACGCCTACCGTAGTTTCATTTTGGTTACTCTGTATCGATTGAGCCTGTTATTCTTATTTACATTTTTTCTAATTTGCTCTTAATTGAAGTTGAATTTACATGTGGACATCAAACCACCAACTACTCTACAAAAAAGAATTCTTAACATGTCTCAATTAGAAGTGACAGCACATGGGTCTTTTTCAAGTAGTCCGAAATCTATCAGCACGACTAGGTAACATGATGAGTCTTCAAATAAAATTATAGTGTGATTCATTCAGTAACGTTCAATGAATCATTTAACAAACGTTATCAAGATCTAAATTGGCTGCCTGCTTGTTTTTCTTGTCACGAGGGACAAAAGAAACCTTCATATCAAATAACCATCTAGTACTTATTATTAATATTGCACGCAGTTTAGTTCAATTTAACAATTTTTTTATAAGCGGCCAACTTTTACCCAGGTTTGATTTTAAGACACAAAAATAATATGAAATAATATGTCAACAGAAACTTGTGGTTGAACACATTTTGAAAAACAATTACAATGTATGATATCAAAAATAGAAAACAAAAGTAAATACGTTATCATACAATGTATATTGAATTTATTATTCATAATAAATATATCTATGTAAGATATGCCCTGGATATTGTTAATTATCATAATGTAACCAATATTACTTTGGATGGAGCAATAGCGGTGGGGTATTTCTTTAGATACTTTTCAATGTACATCAACTTAGACATTGATCTCTAACACATAAGATCACTTATACATGATATGTGTTTTGCACGTGATCACCTCCTTTGTCTTTACTCATTGGTCAGTGGTCTGTGGCTAAAGTAGGGTTGATCAGTGGGGGTGGCTCCAACTGGGGCACACATTGGTCATAATCCCTGTTATGTCCTCAAAGGTAACTTCGGATGTTAGCCCAACAACCGACCACGTAGGGCACTCGTGTTAGATACGCGTGTCTATTCAGTTTTGTTAAAAGGTTTTTGAGGGAGTCTTTATATGTTCGTATAAAACTCTTGTCATTGTTTTTCAATTCTGTTGCAATGGATGTCAGGAGGTTTTCAAGAGTTTTCCCAGATCTCCCGAGATTTATCTCTGGTTTTAAACCCTTGGAGTTCCGATGATTGTACCCATCTTTGCTGCTCTTCAGTATTATCAATGAATATTGACAACAAATAATTGATACAGTTCATGTCAACATATGTAAATATGTATCTGCATTTAAATTATCAAATCATTAATAAATTACAATTTTTATAAAAAAAAAATACACTATGTTATTTTTTTTATTGTCATTAAATTTATTGCAGGACAGCAGCAAACAAATCGCTGACCA